GCCGGGCAGCGCGGAGATCTTATAGCTACTGGGTAGCCGCCGTTCCCACTGCGGGCGAAACCTTCGGAGTGTGCGGATTGTAACCGGAGTTGCTTGCTTAACGTCGGACGAATCATCGGAGTGATTGGAATCGTCTATTTCGTCTACGCTAAGACAAGCAAATCGGTTATTTACCAACGAGGTCGCACTGATCACTCGTTGGTCCGGACAAAATCCGCCGTGTCCGATTCCTCAACCGGGGCCGTTCCCTCATTGTCTATTCCTTCCGAGGTCCCCACACTTTCTACAACATCGGCCGCGGTCAGGAGATCTTCGATGGCGGACATCCGCTCCTCGGTGGTCATGAACCGGACGTCGTACCGGAGTGGGCACTCGCGGGACATGTGACCGGGCTTGCCGCATCGGTAGCAGAGCTGCGAGGTGGCGGGTCGGGAGCGGGTGTGGTCGACATCCATTGGGACACCGGGTGAGAGAGCCTTTGGAGGAGGCGGAGGTTGGAAACGGGGTTGCAGAGGCGGGAGCTGAGTCCGAGGCGCGGGAAGCACGCCCGCAGGAGTCCGAGCGACTCCAGAGCCAGCTGCTGGTTGGACAAGGGATCCGGAGTGTCCGGAGTTTCCGGAGTGCACGCCAAAGTGGAAGGATTGGTTAGCAGCACGGTTGTCAGCAACCCGCTGTGCTGCCTTGTACCATTCCTCGAAGTCATCCTCGTCCGGACAGTCTGCGGACTTGGCAACGCGGCTCTGGATGATGGAGTCCAATCCACGACGGAACTTCATCGTGATGTTGGAGCCCTCAGTGTATCCGGACTGGTCTACAAGGTCCCGGAACTCGTCGAGGTACTCCTGGAAAGTCCGGCGCCCTTGGTGGTACCGGGTGGACTCCAGTTTTAGCATGGCAGCTTCGCGTTCCCGATCCGGAAGGAAGCGAGTCCGGAACTCGGTTGCGAAGGCGGACCAGGACGCGAAGTACGGATCCTTCGGACTCCGGAGCACCATGTCCGCGTACTCCTTAGCTCGATCCTTCTGGAAAAAGGAGAGACACCAGAGGATTTTGGCCTGCTCGGTCGGAAAGTGGTCCGGACAGAGCTGGAAGTAGATGGAGCATGCGTTGTAGAACGCGCGACCATCCTTGCGGTTCCCGTCGAAGATCGGGGGAGAGGCGGGCTTCAAGCGGGAGCGCGGGGTGTTTTCGGATCGACTCGGGGCGTGCTGGGAGGCTTCGGTGCCCCTCAGCTCGGAGTCCGGAGTTGTTTTCGGAGTAGTCGGACGGGGTGTTAAGAGGAGTCCTTCAATTCGGGCGAGTGTATCCTGGATGGAGCTGATTTGGGTTTGGTGTTCATATGTCTGAGCCCACAAGGTCTGCAAAGTCTCGGAGTCCGGTCCTGAAGCGACTGGCTCGGATGGCGGGATCTGGCTGGAAGCGCCCGGCATTCCGGAGTCGTCAGGGGAGCGAGGGATGGAGTTCCTTGGGTCCTCAGAGGTGGGTGGGAGTAGCAGGAGAGCGTCCGGAATGTCCGCAAAACCGGAGAGACGTCGAGAACGAGTCCGGAGTGGCGCAGGACGTTTTCCGTAGGGCTCTGGTGCCAGGATGGGAGATCCTGTTCTGCTGTAAGGGCAACCTCAAGATGGCCGACAGCGCAGGCCTAGCAGAGGGAGAATCCAAAGTAATGAATAAGACTAACTACAATACATGAGAGAGCTGCTCACCTAGCAGAGGGAGAATCCAAAGAGAACAGGATAAGGATTCTCCATGCTAGGAAGTGAAGTATATACTGTAGTAGCGTGGGAGGAGTGAAGGGTAACTGTACAGTACACCAGCCACAGGTCCGAACGAATATCACAAGGTACGAGGAAACATGTGATAATGAAGTGGAAGGGGAATGTACAGGAGTCGTGCCGGCGACCTGGGGAAGTGGGGACAAGGAGTAATGAAGTGGAAAAGGAGGATAGAGGTAGCCCGGACAAGCCCCGGAGTGTATCTACGAGTCCGAGCGAGTCCGAAGCGTCCGAGGCGAGTCCGAGGCGAGTCCGAGGCGCGGGAAGACTCCGGAGTCACCGGACGTGGCTCGGATGCGAAAGGAGTGGGCGGAGAGGAAGTGGAAAGGAAAGGAAGCGAAAAGGAACAAAGGGGGACGAAGGAAATGTAGGTAAGAGTCCATGGGATGAAGGAAAGGAGAGAAAATAGGAGTGTCCCCTTACAACTGTAGGTTCAGTAAAACATAACAGTCATGTGTGAACTGAACCTTGATGGGTGTTCGTCACGGGTAACACTGACGAGTGAACCTCTTAGGGGCTTAGTAACATATTTCCGGAAAATGGCTAGGGGTTGAGTAAATTATCTCAGGCAAATTTGAGGGCTCTAAAGCATCTAATATAACTCCAGTTTTCATTGAACAGCATAACAGTAATCTAATCCCAGTGAACATGAACCTCAACCTTACAGTGTAATGTGTCACACGGGGTTGTGAACCTCTTCCCAGGTGAACATGTGCCATAACGTGTAACGGGCCATGAACCTACAGTCAAAATGGTACAGTATATCTGTCATGGAAGCCTGAGTCCCATGCGTGACGAAGTCACGGGCCTGAAACTTGTCACATATATAAGTGATGAGTGTGTTCTGACACGTAAGAACATCGAATAGGAACGTCGAATCAGGGCAACGAATCATGAATTAGAGATGTCTTGACTCTTGTAAGTTTGATATATAGGAGCACCTCCATGGCCGATCCTGATGCTGGGCGACAATCGATGCCAACCTCAAGCTTAGGCCCGTAGCGACGACGAGCGAACGTTCCATTTGGCGTTTGAACCATACGATATATGCCGGAGGTAAGACGAGCCAGGGCAACAGACTAAATGAGTTGGAATGCTCAGAAGTTCGAGGCACAATATGCGGATATCAAACAACACGCCCCACGAGCTGGATAAACTCTGAGTGTAACCGAATATGAGGTATAAGAGATACAAGAGAAACCGCGATGTGAAAAAATAGGAACGTACGAAAGCTTCATTGACGTCGGCTCCATTGAATGTTCGCGTCCAAAAACATGATACCACCCAATCATTTCTCGAGCAACGAGATCAAGAAGACGCGTCGCCCTCGGGCGCCCTTCTTGACTGTTTCCGAGACTCGCGTTATACCTGGACGCGTACGTAGAGTCATAGAAAACGTGTATACGTTTTCTGGTGACATTGGCTTTACCTCGAGACTTGACAAGGTGGACGTAGTAGGGAAGTAAGTTCGAAGGACCAGCGTCACGCGTCACACATAGGAAATCTAAGGTGCGTGGTAACTTCTGCTAAGCTATGTGCTTAGAGCAAGAAGTAAGGGCTTTTCCCACAATCAGTATCGCTTGTGCTGACTTAGCACTTGTCTTTCAGATCTCAGAACTTATCGAGGCTCGCACGAGAGACTGGGCGAGGCGAGAGTCGTTTCTGACCAGAGATCCAATTATTATTTGGTACAACAACGACAACTAGTATGTCTATCGTCCCATATCCGCGTACGCTTGGACCGCGCGTTCAAGACTGAAGATGCCTGCGGGAAAGTCGAAGCCGTCCCCTTCAGAACTGCCCACGAAGCTCCTTCTTTGCATGAGGCTCACCTATCTAGAAGGTAACGGCAGGCGCGGCGGCTACGCTCTTGAGCGATCGATATTTAATGCCTGTAGTGAAAATGAGAAGATGGGCGAGCATTGAGCGAAGGGGATGCCGTTGAAGATGGGTTACTGTTGAGACTGACGAGTGGCGAAACTTGGCTGAGGGATATGAGGAGATATGGGTGGTTTTACATAACATCTGGACGCCCACATATGTCATCTAGCCGGTGTCTTGGTGACGAGTCTCAGAAGTTGTAGGTCTAGGGTCACAGTGAGTTAGTTAGTCAATGAGAACGGGATCGATATAGATAGCAGACGCACATACGATGCCTGGGCGATCAATGGAGCCGAACTACACAAGCACCGAGAACGGATTCGCAAACATCGAAAAAATAACCGTGCGCCCACATCACCTCGAGCCGCGATGTACGCGGGCATGTGCATGTGAAGTACCAAGCAGCGTCATGCACCATGATCAAACGCCGAACGGCACCTTCTTTCGAATTTCGGGCGATTGGGGAGTAGCCTACCAACCGCATTTGCCGTTTGGACCGTCAGCGAGTCGTGCATGTGAAGACCTGAATATTTATTTGAATATGAATGCCGAGTGTTTGTTCATAGAAGAAAATCACGGCGCGTGTGCGTGGAGTTCGCAACATAGCGCTATATGTTCGAATTCATGGAAGTTGTAGCCAAAGGCCAAGGCGCCTGGCGATCGCGACGCCCAGTCTGTGGCTGTGTGCTGGCGCTTCTCCTCCTAACTTACTCCTAAAACTTGACATCGACTTTACCCTGCACAACGTTCGGGGTGCCTACTCGGAGCTCCATCCAGATAGCCACCTCTCGTGCACCTCTCCGATTTCACTCCTAATCACGAATCCCGTGCTAAATCCCACTTGCCGTACATGCATCCAACATCTCACGGATGATCAGACCTCGGAAGAGCGACTGTAACACGCAGTGGAAATGGAAATTTTACGACAGCCCACTGCTTTGAGTCTCGATCTCGATAAACTCGCACCGTCGCACCGTCGGCAGTCAAAACAACTTACGTCTTTGTTCTTTACCGAGTCTGTACTTCGGCTCCGTCGATCTGCTCAACCAGGTTTGTTGTAGATTTGTACGTCTATGGTCACTTTCTTGTTCGGGTTGACTAACTAGCTGCGTAGGCCCTAGACGACCCGACTTCGTACTCGTATGATAATTGTCGGAATCTTGACACACCGGGACGCGTCGAGAGAGTATATAATCTGCCCTCAGCCAGCGGCGTATCCCCAGCAATCAATCTCCTGGACACTCACCAGCAGTAAGTCTCCATCTTTCACTCTCTTCTACTCTCCCATTCCTCTCATCAATACTAACCTCCCCCTCCTTTCACCGGCAGGTTTAATCACTCCCAATGCGCATCGCACTGCTCCTCCTCGTCTGCGCTGTCGTGCTGGTCGTAGCCAGCCCCAACATAGAGGAGCGGAAGAAGAAGAAGAAGATCAGACGGCCAACTGTTACGGCTACCCCGCCCGCTCCTGCAGCCGTAGCTGACGTACCTGCTGCTGACGCACCAGCAGCAGGTGCCCTCTAAGCAGGTGAGCCCCATACGCAAGAGTTTCGTGGGTGGTTCTGACGGTCGTTGCTTCAATCTTCCGGCAGCTGTCTCGAGCGCAGCGTATGCGGAAAAGCCCGATAGACATACTAGTACTCGTTGCTTCGAACAATAATTTGGTTTCCATTCATATACAGGTCTCATCCAGTGCCCCAACGAGCATGCGAATTGAGTAGCCTTGATAAGTTCTAAGGGTGCTAAGCCAACGAGCGGCAAGGCAATGTGTTCCCCAGAGCTTCATCATTCGCAAGCGACCGCACACAATGAATAAGTAACAAGTTCATTTTTGCACTAGGCTTGAGAAACAGACTGTTACTATGTACAGATAGATGATCGGCAGCGACATCGCTCCCCGGGTTGCGCGTCGGAGCAGGACGATGGAGAGCCGAGTATCAGCTGAGCACTAACAAACAAAAAAATGCCAGCGTCAGAACGACCTCGACAATAAATAAAGCCCGCCGAAGCCGACCTTTTAGGCGGAACCATCAGCACCATCAGCGACCGGTTCCGCGGCGGCGGCGTCGGCGGCAGGAGCTTCAGGTGCGGCGGCGGCGACCTTCTTGCTCTTCTTGCCCTTCTTCTTGTCTGCGTGGGGGCTCGCGAGGACGAACACAGCGGCGAAGGCGAGGACGAGGATGGCGACGCGCATTGTGAGAGGTGGCGGAAGATAAAGCCTAGTAATGAACGAGGAAGAGGCCTTTGGTTAGAGAGGGGGAGGCAAGGGGGAGGTGACTTACTACTGGTGAGTGGCTAAAAGGTTGCTGGAGAGCAGAAGTTGTTCGAGGGTGGTTTATATAGGCTTTGCGTGGGGCGAAGAGTGGTGGCAGGGATAGCAGGTACGGCCCTGTCGAGCAAGCAACCTATCATCCTACCCATCACCCGTCCGCACCCTGCATTGGGGTAGCACGCATGCGGAACCAATTCCCCACCAGAAATCCGTAGCTCCAATGTCAACGACAATGCGGGGCACCATTCACACTGTCTTCGTGTCCTCGCGACATACCATGTTGAAATGCTGGCAAATTAGGCACTAACGGGGTGTCTATGTCTATGGCGTGACCGCGGGGCTATCGGTGACACTTTGAGGCGGCAGTTATGATCGTTGAAGTCTATCATGCTCGTGGGCGTACCGTGTTATCGGGGTCATAATTAGCTGCGGGACTGGCTGCAGGCGGTGAAACTAGTCTGCCATTGGGCAAATACACAAATGGAATATCACCATCGCGGCGCGCAAGGCTAGGACGGGAGATTATGGGCTACTTGTTCACATCGCGACTTAGCCTGCTCGAAAAAAGAAAATGTGCGAGTGGAGTTCTAGGAGCCTGAGCACCATGATACATGGTGGTTTAGCTGCAATACAATTATCTACGTATAGTGCTGCGCTGCCAACGTACAAGAAAGTAGATGCCAACCTCGTGCATGCCAATTAATCAAATCCGTAGTTTCTGCTACACATCGAGCGAAGGCATCCCAAAATCCCCAGCAACAGGCTGGTTAAGCGGGGCAACCGAAGGTACCAGGTCCGGGAATGCATTGCCCACCCATGGCCAAATTTGCCATCCGAACACCGGCAAAGTTGCGAATTTCCATGATAGCCGCGCACATATCGAGGCTGCGTCCTGCTTGCAGTGCGCCAAAGGCTTGCTAATGAGATCGAGACCATGCTCAATAGTTAGTCCGAATTCATATGTCAAAATAACGTCGTTATTCTCACCATGCACTGTGACTTCGTTGGAGCCCAGATGATGTTGCAACCTGGCGCGTTGGCTGAAATGTATTGGAAGGAGCCTGAGACGGCGCTTCTAATATGGTTAGAGCACGGGGCACTCATGATTGCGTTACAGAACTCGTCTGGAAGAGCCCTATTAGCAACCTGTAAAGGAGAAAAACACTCCAGACATCGTACCGAAGTATGAATCTCCAGGTCCGCTGACAAGAGGGCCCAGGCAGTTACAAGGGAAACATCTCCTGTGAGAGGTGATTGGGCCGGGAGTCCCCCAAACAGCGACGACGGCCGTCGGGGTGACCAACGCAACGAAGGCAGCCAACAAGAAGATTTGGAATTTCATGATCTGTACGGTATGTTACGGTGTGAGTGGGTTATAAGGCATAATGCTGGAGTCTGATTCACCTTTAAACTCGAGCACTTCGACTAGGAGAGCAGTATTTGCGACGGAAGAACTTCTCGATGAGTTTCATGGAGGCTGAGACGGTTTATTTATCGTAACTGGGAGTTCCGAGACGCCCGTTGAGATTACTTCCAAGAATTGCTCTTGGCTGAGCGCCGACGTATCAACGCCGGGGTGGACGACGTGAGATGGACAGTGCAGTGCCGCTGGATGTAAAATCTTATAGCGTATTCATATGGAATGAGGTCCACCGGAAGGTATCCTACATCAGCTTCGGCTTTCTACGAAAGAGCAGTCATAGAGTATCAACAATAGGGGAGCTCAAAGTTGGCGCATAAGAATCTAACCCTAAGGCCGTATGCGCGCATATGCGTACGCGGATTCTTATGCGCCAACTTTGAGCTCCCCTAATGGGACGAGACTGAACTCAATCAAACGTCTAGTGTAGCAACGAAAATATGGATGTGCTTACTCAGATGACAATATACGTTGACGGAGACAAAAATTGCCCACATGGATCATACGACGAGTCGCGAACATGATGCCCAGCAACTTGGCGGAACCTGTTGCCCCGTCTGTTGACCGTTTGGGCCGCTTCCACCATAGGCCGAGAATACCAGGAAAGGATACGAAGCCAAGGAGCGCCCTCCGCTACACCCAAGGCTTGGCAAGCCTTCGACAACTTCATTGGCGCCCTGCTTTCTTTAGGGACCGTATGGAGGGCTTGAAAATGGTAAGTACTCATCGATATCGTCTTTCAATTAGACAACTCACATACGGCAAAATCGCAATGACGGACAATGCTTGCGACGCTACAGCCTTTCCATCACAACATCCATCGTCCAGATATCACCTCGCTCAGACCTTGTCGCTTTCGTTCTGCTGCCGATGAAAGGGTAGTTGTGATTGTGGCTTCAACGGACGAGCGCAAATGCAGGGGGACGATGGCAGCGTTGTTACGTGTTACGTGGGAAAGGACTAGGACAACTGGGGGGTTATATGGTACTTATGTGAGCGAGAGCCTCGGAGTAAGTTTACACAGACATCATAACGCTTTTTCTCATATAGACAACCGTAAAAGCACACACGTCTAAAACGTGTGAATTTGGACCGGTGAAATACATTGTGACTCGCTAGGGAGGCATGGTTTGAAAAGGTTTCGATGGGGAAGAAATCATGCTGGGCTAAAGCAAGACAAGGTATGTCATGTGCGTGCCTAGGGAATCAATCTTACATCTGTCGTTAACGAGAATACCGTTCGGTTGGCAAAAGCCTGAGGGACAATGGAACGGATCGGGCATGACATGGAAGCAATATGGGAACGCTGCGCAATCAGCGCTTGTCGATTATCGCCATCCGGTACGCTCCAATCGACGCTGCGCTGCGGAAGCAAGGACGTTCAAAACAGCACCTGCTATTATCTGATGGCGCATACCACGAGTTCAATCTTTCCAGTGTATAACACACGTAGCCAGCGAGTTCGTTTTATGTTGTATAATGCGTTTTCATCACTTAACACGTCCGTCCACTGCTACTTCTGTAGACACTTCGGTACAACATTCCACGGATGGCTATATCTCTTCTCGATGCGCAGTAGCATCTCCAAGCTACGTTAGGACAGACAGAAACCGCCTCTTGAAGGTGACCCATCTTTGATAGAGCGTACTACATCTCTCAGACATTTCTAGGGGGATCGACAGGAGCATCAATACCGTTTGGTCGGAAGGACTGATGCTGTTTTAGAATGGTTCGGCACTCACGCATAAACGAGATGGCACGGCGTCCATCGCACTCTTACGCTTAAGTACCCATCCTCGCGCGAAACATCACACTAAATATCGCACCCTTCATTATGCCACCCGTACGTACTCTTCGACGACAACAAGGCGGTTGTAATGAGATGTTCGGGAGGCGGTACCATCCATACCCATACCTGGGCAATCGTGGCGCTGTGGTGCGTACTGTGCATCATGTACTATATGTCATAAAGCTGAACATCAACTCGCCCTCCGACGCAGGCTGTAGAGGATGAAGAGGTTTGTCCGTTTTTGTACCAGTCTTCGTATCGTTGATTCCTCTTGATTCAGACCCTTGGGCATCGCATGGAGGCGGAAAACCCACCGAATGTGCAGAACCAGGGACTTCTACGAAGATTGTACGCCATCATCGCCACGAGAGTCATTGACGTGAGTCACCTCTAGATCGCATGTTCTGCGACAACTCATCGCTCGCCCCCTCGCTTGTAGTACATATAACTACTGCGCCAAGCTTGACACTCTGGGAAGGCTTTCCACCTATATGGAGTACCCATTGATCCCCCCCCCGGTTGGTGCCAATGTATGATCCTACAATCTCTACTGCAAGTCAGCAGTGAAAATACTCGTTGTTTTGGAGTGTCAAGGGCGTGTAACCAATGCTGAACGTATCGTATGGAAAGATGCGGGGGTACGTCTACCGTTGTCCCATCGATACTTAAAGTATGGCTCTCGGCGAAGCACCAGTGCACCAACAACCAAAGTGGACGAAAGTGGACTACATAATATGTGCGATCCAGTGCCGCTGGACTTGGATTCGAGGACCGTGTCAATAAGAATGAGGGTAAGGGAAATTTCCCACTTACATTAGTACCGACAAAAAGCAGGCATCAACTCGACTAGATGCATAGGGTAGCATGCTGCATCGTAGATGTAAAGGATATCCTGGGAGGTGTTGTGAGACTAAACATAACGCTGTCAGGTGCTGAATCCACTCACCATATGTCAGAGGACGAGCCATGCCTAACGTCCAGTAATTTCATCAGAATCATTGTGGTGCACCCAGCCGAGAGCGAGATGTGAGAACCCCTCAACGATCCATCGACGCTAAAACCAGGGGTTGGAGGTCTGTTATCACAAGACCTCGCTCTCAATTACCACTTCACACCGACATCGCGGCGCGAATTTTGTATAAATGAGTTGACGGAGTTTTGAAAGAGAGAGAGGAGGCTAAGACAACGGTGAGCACGCATCGCTCGCGTTCTAGACGAGCGAGCTCCTATACGAGGAATCTGATTGGCAGACGATACGCACAACCTCGTGCCGTATGTCCCCTTCATGACGATCAGACCTGCGATGTGGTCTTCAACGACCATCCTTTACTTCGCATCACTGCCACAGCTGCCTTTATCCCAGGGATGAAGCATCTGATGAGAAAGAGGACGTAATCCTCACGAAGGCCACCTCTTACGAGGATGCGGCATGGCAGCCGCAGCCGTAGACATGGGCCCAGCGCGTTGGGAAGTGAGACGAAAGCGAGCATAAAGTAAAGCCAGACGTGCGAGCGCTGCACGCAGCGCGGAGGACCAAATGGTTTAGGAACGATCTGGCAAGATGGGTGAGCGTATGGGTGAGCGTAGTTGTGAAAGGCATGCTCACCTGGACCGTGTGAACTTTGAAATACGCAAGACGTCGACATATCGAAATTTCAACGGCCGTGGCTGGCTAAATCGCTGGGACGCGCGGTGGGCAGTAAGGCGGTGCATAGGTCTTGCGTCCTCGGCGTATCGAAGATGTTGAAGACACCCACGACAACGTCTTCAATCAAGGAAGAGAGAACGTCAGTTCAGAGCCTCCGGCGCAGAGATAGTAGTAAGCCCTTCCATTCGGAATTCGAATCGTCCACCAGTAGTACTGCAGCATAGGTTGAACAAGAGGAGGCAGGACGAATGTGTGGATTCGAATTTTGCAGTTTCGAATTCATATTCATCCTTCGAGCTTGAGACTCCGTGGCACTACACGTTCAGGCTCCCCCAATTCGATTTGATTTGATTCGATTCGAGGGAGTTAGTGGAGAAGACTGGGATGGCAACAATTTGACAATTTGACAAACGACATGGGAAGTGGGAACGCTGCGCAATCGGCGCCTAGCTCCATCCAGGGGCTCCTTCTGCCGTATCCGTATCGCAGCCTCATAATTCATAATCCGCTAGCATACGACATCACTCTCAGCAGAAGCGCGGACGAGACGGTGTCGTTGTCGCTCCTTGATATATATATATATATATATATATATATATATATATATATATACGCTTGAGCCTTGAGCTTGATGCATTGACGGTACGCCTAAAATTCACCAATTACGCCGCCGCTCAACGTGTTTCTAGATCGCGCATCATGATGCCGCATGCGGTGCAGATTTTGCCAACCGTTTATGTAGAAGCTGGACTTTCGGTCCCAGGCCGCCACTGGCAGTGTTCTATCGACATTGGACTCTTCTGAGGCAGAAGCACCCGCACGCGTCATAACTCATACGAGGGTGCATTATCTATCTATCTATCTATATATATATATTCTATCTATATATATATATATATATGTCTCCATATACGCCCTCAACCTCTGCGATGAAGCCAATCGACCGCTAAATCACCGCTAAATCCCATCTTTCCTGGATCCACCATCCTTCGCCTCTACACAGGCACACCCCATCATGCATCAATATCAATCACCGCGTCCACTCCACATATCCCTCCCTATGTACGTCTGCCCAGATCGAACGGAATATAGAAGAAAGAGACCCTCTAATCTAATCCGTGCTTCCTTAACGCAGCTTTCGCCGTTGCACCTCCCTTTACAGGTACAGGAACGTCCAGGACATCGGTACATACCAGCACGGCGATGCTATTTCGCATGGCGCGAGGTCGGCGCGTCTCCTTCTAAGTACGTTCGTGTTTATTGGCGATACGGCATCCTAGTAGCTTGTTTCCGTGGTTCCATGATAGGTCACTTCCATCACCGCACGCATGCCCCCCTCATAAACACTCCCCCTCTCGAAAATACGGCTCCAAAACACGAACCACGCACACCACTGTCCGCTAGTCTACGATGCCCCCCATTCGCACTCTTCGACGCCAGCGGGGGAGGAGCAGTGGCAGTGAGAGCAGGAGGACTCGGAGGCGCTACCACCCGTATCCGCGCCCCGATGCCGCTCGTGGTCCTTCGGTGAGTATATATTTTATTACCGCACGCACGTCTACGCCGCTCCTAGACCCGGCGACCTGACTATCTCGTCGCTTCCCTTCTGCTTCTGCTTCTGCCACAGGGCAATGTTGCTGAGGCGGTGGGTCCCGCCGCCGCCGCCAGTTTTTAGTCCCCGAGTCTTCTCATCCGCGTTTCTGTGCTCTAGGACTGCGGCATTCGTCCGGGCTTGGGCTTGGAGGAGCCAAACATGCGCGGGGTTCGGAACGTTGATCGGCGGCCTTTCGTGCGGTGGGATGCTCATGCGTGCTTGGTCGCCGACTCCATCGTCATCATCCTCAGCATCAGTGTAAGTCTGTACGAGCTCGCATGTCCTGCAGCCGCTGATAGCTCGTAGTACATGCTACGCGGGGCCTGACACCCCCGGCGAGATCGCCATGATCAACTTGCCACCACCACCTTCTTGAATCTTGAATAACAGTACACCCGGATACTGAATGCTACAGCTACTCTACCTGTTGCCGAACACTACACTTGTAATAAGTAATTATAATCAGGAATGCTGACGCCGCCGCGCTTCGCGATTCACGAGGATACTATGCATACATGCTAGCCGCTGATGCGCCTGAGGCTGCCTCTGGGATCTGATATCTCATGGACATAGAAATCTAGCAGCGAGGTAGACGCGATAGTGATAGCACATTGTGACATTATGGATACACTTGGCATCGTAACTATGGGTATGGCCACGACTAATATACAATATGCGCAGTACGAGTACAAGTGGTAATGTGAGAGGACGGGCTGAGCACTACATCGACACCATTAGAACGGCTCTGCCATGCACCGAGCACGGATATCACTAACCTTCCGAGGACGATCAAGGCTCATGCAGGACTCGCTGGATACAGCAGCGTTCAAGCAGCAGCCTCATCGACAGGAGCCGGGTCCGCAGCGGGCACGTCGGCAGCGGCAGCGGCAGCGGGAGTCTTGCCAGTTTTCTTGGACTTCTTCTTGTCCGCGCTGGGGCTGGCGACGACGAACACGGCGGCGAAGGCGAGGAGGATGAGAGCGGCGCGCATGGTGAGTGATTAGCGAGGATAAAGCCTGTCACATCGATGAAATCGACGAGAGGAAGGAGGAGGGAGGAGAGGAGAATGTTGTCAGGTCAGTGCTGTGCTGTGCAACGGGAGAGGGATGAGGAGGTACTTACTTACTACTGGTGAGTGGCTGAAGGATGCTGGGGAAATGGGGAGACTTGGGGCGGTTTAAATACTTTGGTGTGGAGGTGGAGGTGGACGAAAATAGATTAGGATCGAGTATGCTTTCATTCGTACGACGGCCCTACACGGCGTCGTGCGCACCAACGCGCACCATTCCTGCTGTCTGGTGGTGCGTGGTGCAATTCGACCGCTGTGTTCAGTCCAACGCTCCAATGGTATCTGTTTAGATCATTAGTTCACTGATCATCAATCATTGAAGACGCCCAGGGAGCGGGCGTAATGCGGTACTCGCCTAGGTCGTGCGACGTGTACTATAGTAGCGCGCACCAAATGCGAGAATAGGGTGCTGCGGAGCGAAGTCGAGCTAAGTGAAAGGGAGTGCGGGGCGTGCGTCTGGCGACTTTGAGCGCAACGAGTGGGTAATTGGCGGAGTAGAAGCTATTGGGAGACTTGTTAGTGGTCAGCCGTGATGTTAACGTATGCGGTGGTCGACTTGCCAGCTCCAAGACGGCGTTCAGACGTTCAAACGTTCAAACGTGGATGTTGTAATATTCCCGACGGTATATGGTCTCCAACCTCCAACACTCTATCTGCATCCGGACCGTAGCTTGATATGGGTCGTAGTCTGCAGGACTCGGACGTGTCAGTGATCTGAGTGACGAATGACTAGCATGATCGAAGGACTTGAGTCATGTTCTCGGAGTCTTTCTATTCCTTTATCGAATGTTGGTTTGCCATAGTGCTAACTATTATCAGACCAACACCGAGGGCAGTGATCAATAAAGTGACTGTGGGAGTAAAGTGAGAGTAGTCTTCGGGCCGAGCCCCTGAATCCCAGTTTGGGCTTCCCGCAGTACGGAGCACTTCACCTCAGCACACGTTGCTGCCTTCTGCTCGACTCGAGGCGCGATCAATATGCAGAACGCTAAATAACAAGAACAAGGACCACCTCCGCAGCCCTCCCGCCTCCTTCCCTTACCCCCACATCCACGTCCGCGGTAGCCGCGAATACTTACGCCCTACAGAGGATTTGAAGAAGAAGAGATGGCTCCGTATTTCGAAACCGTAAAGGCAAGTGCGTCTAGTCTCGTACTGTGACGTTCTTTCTACTTACATACCCGCCGTAGTCGTTCGCAGATGTGGCTATAACATCATCTGGCGTACCGACCAAAGACTTCCTCGAGGCGTCGGATGGGTTGGTCCAGCTCTTCGGTCAGTTCCTATTTACATTCAATATGCCGATAGACGAATGACCTATAACCCCACATCCACAGATCTATTCGGATCGGCCGTCTTTGGCTTCGTGCAGAACGATATCAAGGGCAACGTCCACGTACGTCCTTGCTCCCTTCTTCTCGCCATCGTCCTTTTCTCCCTCTCCCTTTTCTCCCTCTCCCTCTCCCCTTGCCTACCAAGTCCTTCAATCCGACATTACTAACATCCCGTCCATACATCCAGGGCGTCCGAACACGATTCAACGCCGCTCCGGACGTCTTGCAGACCCTCGAGTCTCTCCTCGAGCACGACACCCCCGAACCACATCATCACGGCCATGGGCATAAAGGGCACGGACACGCGACGGGGTGTTTGATTCGGCTCCTCCGGTACGTTCCCTCCCTCTCCACCATCTTCCTCCCCACTTTCCCCATCCTCACCCCACCTTCACCTTCCCGTCCTCTCCTATCTTCACTTTATCTTCTCTCCACCGCCACCCTTCTCTCTGCCCCTATTTCCCTTCTTCACAATTCCCAATACCGATGCTGGAGCGCTGACGCCTCTCCTCCCCATCGCATACGCACCTGCAGCGGCCTCGCATTCACGCAGCTTGCGCTCCAGAACATGCAGAACGACCCGCACGCCGAGCTCCACATCTGCTTCAAGAAGGCGTACGACGTCGTTTTGAAGCACCATCACGCATTCTTCGTGCGGAGCGTCGTCGCGGTGAGTCCACTTCCCTCCCTGTGTCCTTGTAGTACGACTTCGAGCACCTATGTTTCACCGTTCATCTATTCCACTCCCTCCCTCCCTCACGTCTCCCTCCCATCCGTACCGTCCCACCTTCCGCTACATGGCATACACTACCTCTACTCTCTTCACCCCATCTTCCATCCACCATCCACCACCTTTCCCTCCTTTCTTCCTCCCACCCCCCACTTTACCCTTAACCATCAACTCACCCACCTCCCCAGGTCGCCATCCGCGCAGTCCCCTACCGCGCCGACTTCTACGCGCGCCTCCTCCAGGGCGGCGACCGCGCCAAGCTCGACGCGGAGCTCGGCAAGTGGCTGCACGGCCTCGACGCCGTCGTCCGGCACATGAGCGCGGTCGTGGAGAAGGGCGGGTATGGGAAGGTGTAGACGCCGTCTGCGGGGCGTGGTGCGCTGTGTGTTAATTATGCTGGTGATTCGTGAACGCTTGGATCGTTTGGAACGCTTGAATGTCTGAATGTCTGAATGTTTGGGAGTCGCTCGGGCTGCTTCGTTAACGGACGCTGCGTGGCTAGACGGCTTATTGGGTGGGATCTTTGATTTTGGGGTGGCTGTAGAGCTGTGATTTCGCGCGGGGACGCTTACTGCCCGCATCCAGCTCACCAGCTATCGCTACGTACTACGACTCCTCGTGATGCACGATGTACACGTGTGCATATATATGCCCGCAATACTACGCTTGCAAGTTCCCATCGCGTACGACACAGTAGTATGTCAACTTCGCCATGGACCTCGATGGAGAGATATCGACGTACATGGCGTCCTGTCCAGCGCTTTCTCACCGAGATCGGGATACCATGACGCACTTACAGAATTGCAGTACTTACATAGCATTCAAAGTCCCATCCAAAATTCAATGCTAAAAGCATCCGGGTCCACATGCACAACCTGTACAACGAAGCCTGACGCTGAATCTCCAAAGCGTGGGCCTCCGAGTCCAGTAGTCGCAGGCCTGCGGTTCCACAAGAACTCACGATCCAACGCACAACGAAGACGACGGATTATGGACTATGATCAATATTGGTATTAATTCATGAAAGCAGTGAGTACTAATATGTACTAATATGTTGCATCCCGAATAATTGATCTGATCGACAACTCCTGGAGCGCAAGTCGGAGCCCTTGAATGCCCACGACAGTGCGTAGTTGCCGTCGCCAGTTACGCCTTTACGCGTTTACACACCTGCACCTGCACCAGCGGCAGGCGCACCAATAGCGCGCACGGGCGCGGGTGCGGGCGTCTGGACCGCCGGCGGGGCGGGGACCCTGATACCAGTGGGCATGGGCCTCCGAGTCTTGACCGCCGCCTTTGTGAAGCGCTTCTCCATGTCGGGGGCGGCGGCGACGAGGACGGACACGAACGCAAGGAGGGGGAGCGCGATGCGCATCGTGGGTTGGTGGGTAGGGTATTGGGTAGGGTATTGGGTATTGGGTATTGGGTATTGGGTAGGTTGTGGGTGAAGATCGGGGGCTGTGTGTGAGAGGAGGAGGAGGAGGAGGAGGAGGCGGTCAGCGTTGGGCAAGAAAGGAGAGAGAGAGAGGACAGAGGAGAGAGAGAGAGGGAGGGCTTACTACTGACGCTGGCGACGAAATTTGCTGGGGAATTTGCTGGGGAATTGAAGTCGTCGAGAGTGGTTTATATACCTCTGAACGCTCCGATGGTATGCAGCTACGTACATACGGTGCCCTAGTATCTCGGTATCCGAGTCTCGGCGTCGAGCCTTCGAAGTTGCAAAACCCCAAGTCCAGGGTGGGTCAGAGACAAGGTTTACCAATGATATCTATATCTATGTAGCGAGATCTGCAAACGCTTCGTGAATAGCATGGCAGACATACATACTCACGGAGACCTACGGTGTCGGTTAACGGTCACTGAGATATTGACAAATCGACACAATATCGAAGCGTTGCCGTTGACGTTGAGTACATAACTCTCTCGACGGAGCCGAACTCGCGTTCTCAGATTTCCTTGGGGAATGGGTTTCGCGATCAGTCCTAAGTCCTAAAATCCTAAGTACTAAATACTAAGCACCCGCGAGCTTCAGTGTATACATACATCGGCGTCATGAACGAGCACTGGGCGGGCACCTTCCGTCATGGTAAGTAGCGACCAGCAACCACTGAGTCATGATCACAACGGGAGCGCAGTGCCTGCGAGTTGGTGTATGGGGCACAGACTCGCGGTCTCGGCGCGTGAGCATTTGAGCTATCGGACGCTAACGTCTGAGCTGATATGCCACGGTTGAGCCTGGAGCCTGAACGCGAACGAGGAGATGAATTCATGAAGATGGGCACTGGTTACTGGTACTGTATAACGGATGGTGGGTATTCGTGTTCGTGTTGGTACTTCCATACCGGATGTGCGCAGCGGCCGCTGTGGCTGTGCATCGGCGCTCATGTCAATGTTCACCAACTTCACTTCACCGCTTCACCCAACCTTCAAGGTGCTCCGTTTGGAATACAATATTTTCCTGCCTGTCCTGTCTATGTATGTCACAGGCGGTCCCAACTGCCGCTTCTCGATGGAATTTGGAATCTGGATTAGCAGCAACACCGAGAATTGGGATCGGATACAAGCCGCAAGGTGGTGTCGAGCTTCGTGCAATTTCCACCAACGAGGTTCAGCCCGGCGCACGCGTCTCTCAAACCTCGGACTAGGAGTCGGACGACGAAGGCCCTACTGCGGGCATTGAATGACCAATGACACCGGTAAGCAACCTGTCCGTGGGCTGCTATCACCTCGATCGCGAAGTGGGCGCGCAATATCAACCTGTTTCTGCGATCGTGTACTTCGGCTCCGTCAATTCTCTCAACGTTGTACGCCCAAACATTCAATATTGCAATATTCAATCCTCAGTATTGACTAACTGTGCAACTGCGCCAGCCGACCCTAGGCGCAAATTTCTGAAAGCAGGCGCAGGATACCAAGACACCGACGCGCTTCGGGCGATATGAATCGATATATCGGTGTCTTAGCGGTATATAAACCCTCTGCCAACCACCCCACTTTCAGCACCCTGCGCCACTCGCACTATCTACAATCTACAGTACGTCACCTCCTTCTTCCTTTCCGTTGCGCAACGCTGACCGCATGCACAGGCATCAGCGTTTCAGCCGTAAACGCGTAAACGTCTAAACCACCCAATCTACGATGCGCGCTGCACTCCTCCTCCTCGCCTTCGTCGCCGTGTTCGTCGCCGCCTCCCCCGGCATGGAGAAGCGCAAGAAGAAGGCCAAACGCCCTACTAGACCCGCCGCTCCGCCCGTTCCTACAGCGCCTGTGGTGGCCGACGCGGCTGCCGCGGTCCTTCCCTTCTAAACTCGTAAGCTTGCAAGCACCCGTACACTCATACGTCGGTATTTTCGGTTGTTCTGACGGTGTTTTTTTATTTTACAGGCGTGCAGATGATGTCGTGATGATAACGCAGTAGCGGACGCGGGAATAGACTAGTAGGCTAGGCTATACTCGTACCCGAATAATGATCTGGATTTTGCATGGAATCACGCAGGGCGTTCTCGTCTCAAGGGCACCAAACGACCAATGCGTGCCAACACCCTCAATTAATGACAAGCCTCAAGTATACGATCATTTCACGGGCAGCAAATATGATCTATTAGGCATTAGGCACTATGCTTGGCAAACAGCCAATTTGCTACACTACGAGTGGAGCGTCGGCACTATCCAATGGGTGATATGGTAGATAGCCGAGCATCAGTTGAGGACTAATCGGACGCAAGAAGCTATTGTCAGAACAAGAAGAACAAGTCAGGAGGTTTATCACCTTTTAGCTTAAGCAGCAGGGGCATCGCCGCCATCGACAGGGGCGGGCTCCTCAGCGGGAGCAGCAGCAGGAGCAGCAGCAGCCTTGGGCTTCTTGGACTTCTTCTTGTCGCCACTGGGGTTGGCGAGGACGAACACAGCGGCGAAAGCGAGGACGAAGAGTGCGACACGCATTGTGATTGGTGGCTGACGATAAAGCCTATGGATCACACCTCGCATTAGTGCCACGAAGGGAGGGAGAGAGAAGAGAGGGTGCTTACTACTGGTAAGTGGCTAAAAGTTTGCTGAAGAACTAGGTCGTTGTAAGGCGGTTTATATACTGTTTGACGGCACGCCTTGCACTTTGGAGCGGGGGTATGTTGCGGCCCTTCGAGCACCCCTTCACGCTTCCTGCCTGCTACTTTCGGCGCCATCCGACGAAAGGGACTTGAAGTCACGGGCATTCTTCCTGTCTTCTAAACAAGCGGAATATGTGGTGGTAGTGCTGTGCTGTACGATGTAGGCGGCCTTTGCGTATCTAATTGCAGGGCTGGTCAGCTGTGGTTCATTCAAGACGCTGGGACGTTGTCCAGGGGGCGATCCGGTGTCAAGGAACTAGTCACGACATTTCGCAAATATTGGACATATGTATGTATATCCTGACATATGCAGCGGCGGAGCAGCCAAGTAATGGACCACGTGGGGTTAACAGGCGTACTAAGTCTACGTCGGTCGAAGGGAAAAAGCAAACTAAATAACAAAAAGATAACTCACTGAAGCGTTCGCAACGACGATCCAGGACGTCAGATCTGCGCCGAACATACGTCTTCTGCTTCGGTTGTGACAAAGCCCCGAATAAGCCCAGCAGACAAGGCATCATGAAAGCCAGATACGGGCGATTGGGGGCGGGATCGGACGTATTCGTGGAATACCTGGTGCGCGGCGCGGACACGGGGTGGTTCGAGCGTGGTGGGCACCATCAATGCATCAATGCATCACCCCCGGCTCGGTGTGATCCGCACAAGGCGAGGAAGTAGGCGAACCGCGTCAATTCGCCAGGAACGAGGGATACTACTGAGATACTGGGATGCCAGATGGAGATCGTCCGAGGAAATGAAGAACAGACGTTTCTGACCATCCCGAACGGGCGTGTTCCGCGCTATTTGAGTTGGCTTCGCCGTCGAGAAAACATCTTCGTCGATGTATCAGTATCAAGCGCATCATATGGATGCACGAACGAACGCATGAACGCGTGTATGAACAGCCCCTCCATCATATCAGTCTCGTCGTCTCCCACCAATGGATGAACGAGGGAAGCGAGAAGCAGAATGGGGGTGACAGATCTTCGAAGAGCATGCAGGACGCGACGGCCTCGAACTACCGGCGGTACGCGTCACATCCTCTCAAGGATAGCCTCTGTCTGTTGATGAGATTCATACGATATATTAATTGACATTATCCCATAATAAAATACGCACATATCGCAACCACGCAGAATGGAGAGTCAAAGTCTAGTTCGATACGGCGCAGCGGGCGTTGCAATCGACGTAATAGCAAGACCGCAGCGAAAGTCTATCGGTTCATAGGACCCAGAAGACATAAACGAGGGCACCTGACACGTATATTGCCTCGGAAGGGAGGTTGACGAAGACAAAGAGAGTTCCGGGAGTTCCGACTTCCTGGAAGACAGGCCAGAGCGACGCCAACAGAAGAGCCGATCGGGGGAGGCAGGAGGAGTCGCATCGCGGGTGTGTTTCGCTTTCCTCGGTCATTAAACTGGACCGCGAGCGAGCCCGCGACACCGACCGTTTGAAGACGTCCTCCTCTTCCACTCTCCTGCGAGCCGGGCTGGCACGATTTCCCGGCTGCTCCTCCATGCTGCAAACCGCTCACAGAATAAGCTCACCCCATAATGAGGTCCGAATTAACTCTTGGAGAGAGCAATCAAGGAAAACCATGATGGATTTGAGCTTGCATTTGCCTTATACCGGTAATGTGGACGAATATGCCTTGTTCTGCTGACGGAAATTTGGAATCAGAAAATGATGCTTGAGTGTATATGATAAACTCACATCCGCTGTTGTCGACCGACCCAAAGGATATGCCACATCATACATCATGCATCATGCATCAAGTTCTGAACACACCCATCGATGCGGAATGAGTAGCTCCACGAGCTTATGTCGACGCGAAGAGTCAAAATCTTGCAACACCACAAACCACAAGCCATCAAATGGAAATCCACCTCCCACGCGCCTTTGAACGGAACATATTCGCGCGTACACCTCTGAGATCTGAACTCTGAGCTCTGGCCATTGGAAGTGGTTTGACTTCGACCAGTTGAACGTGAACGACGGACACGGCTTGCCAAACAGCAATGTCGGCGTCGGGATCCCCGCAATTCTAGTTGACACTCGGGCGCGCATCAGAGTGACATTGTCGTTCTGATGTTTTTCCGGAATGCAGTGCGGGTCTCGGAAGAGGAGAAAGGCAGCGTCGGCCCGGCTGGTCGGGCCGCCATATTAGTCCATGTTCTTTGGTATGTAGTGGGGCGTCTAACTTACCTCAGGAGTTCATCCTGAACAAGTCCTCCAAGCTGCACACTCGCAGGCCTTACGCGGCTCTCTAAACCCTTCACGTGCTGGAGGGACCCTCTTTCAATGTCCAATAACGCAACCAAAATGGAAATGAGCCCATTCACCCCACGTTCCGCAAGTTTCTGTCCTTAGTCTGCTTCACTTCTGCTAACCAGCATGTCGCGATACTGCGTCAGCTACTCGACACGTTATGACACCAAGCTAAGATGACTTACTGCCAGACCAATACCACCTGCGCACCTAACTGCGACCTAATGCAAATAGCCTAGAGACGTGGTATACCGCACGCCTCGTCCAAGTTCCAAGTTCCAAGTTCCAAGTTCTCAGGGTCAATGATCTAACCAGTAGCCCGTTATCAGTCAAACGATTAGCTGACTTCAGAGCACGCAATCACCCATGGACGCCCTATCGCTGCCGCGTTGGCCAGCGTTTGGGGTGTCCGCCACGCCACGGGACAGCGGGAATGGTGCCCCGCGTTGGCGTTCGCGCTACGGACGCAACGATAGGCACCTCGACACGGCGCACCCACTACCACGTCAAGACATGGACATGCTGGGATGCTATATAAGCCCCGCCGATCCACCGCACTTCCTCAGCAAACCTTTAGCCACTTACCAGTAGTAAGCACCTTCTCTTCTCTCTCTCACCCTTCCTGGCACTGATTTGAGGTGTGATCTATAGGCTTTATCGTCAGCCAGCAATCACAATGCGTGTCGCACTCTTCGTCCTCGCTTTCGCTGCTGTGTTCGTCCTCGCCAACCCCAGCGGTGACAAGAAGAAGGCCAAGAAGACCAAGACTCCTACTCCTGCTGCTGCTGCCGCTGAGGAGCCCGCCCCTGTCGATGGCGGCGATGCCCCTGCTGCTTAAGCCTAAAAGGTCATCAACCTCATGATTTGCTCTTCTTGTTCCTTGTTCTGACAGCAGCTTTTGCATCCGATTAGTCCTCAATAGATAGCCGACTCACCCACATTGTGGATCCCTTGCACTTGGATGATGTCGACAATCCGCCTCCGCCCGTAGTATAGTTAGTGATCTATTTGTCAAGCGTACTACGCCCAATAGATCATTCATTGCTGCGTATTCCGAATCTCGTTGTCACGCGCAAAAATTAGGATTAGAAGCTGCGGCGGGCCTGTGTGGCGCAAGCCTCAGGCCCAGTTCTTGAATTATATCAGAGAGATGTGTGCGTTGCCATTCCGCCGTGCAAGCTACGTCGGAAGGATAGGTTATAATTAATGAGGCCATATCAAACAAAGCGATGAACACGATGAAAATGTATCAACAATATCCAGGGAAGAAATCCTTGAAAGAGAATCCCGAATTGGAATCCCGTCGTAAAATCGTAAATTGAGCAGCGAGCCGGCAGTGCCAGGTTCAAATTCATCGTGAGTCGGACAGGCGTCAGAGTATGCACGATGCACGATACACGATACACGATTGCATGCATATGATGCGTGCATGGGTGAGTGGGTGGCTATGATACTGGATTCTGGAATGATGCTCATTATCCAGAATACTGATACCCGCGCGTACGAACCTTCGCGATGTTGGCGCACATGCTCGTGCATGACTTAGCAGATGTCTGCGTGTCTGATACCCGTCCGATATTCGAACCGCGTGGTGCCTTGATATCTGATACCCACCACCTTCCTGCCTTCTTCCAACACCTTCTTTCTTCCAACTCGTTCTTCCGAGTCCTTCTTTCGACGCGGTCCCATTCCCTAGTTCGTTTCTGGCAGTGCTAACGCGTATGTTTGAATCAGGCTGGCACGCAGATGCAGCAGATGCAGCTCGCGTCCATATTCATCTTCAACATCGCATCACATCATTCATGTCCATGAAGGTTTCTCTATCTCTCTATCTGGCCGTGACCCGAATACCGTCGTGCAGTCGAACCCGAGTCGAGCTGATGCACCGCATCACGCGCGAGAACATTCGCCATGCGCACCTACTGCCTACCATCCTGGCCGTGCATCCAAATATTCAGATATTCAAATATCCATGGCAATCTCGCTATCCTGCTATCTCGCTCCCTGGGCCTTAGGCCTCCCTTACCCGCGATGCACACCTATGTACATGCACATACATCCTCACTCTGCCGCCGGGGATCGATCGCCACCGACGCCAGGCACCCATGTTACACGTAGCCTCTGACACGTGCACGTCAGGCGAGTTTGTGTCTATCCCATCGAAGTTGCTATTTGAACAGGCAAATAACTGATTGCGTGCTGATGACAGATGATAGACGGTGTAGCGAATAGACCTATGAAGAAATGAAGAAGAATGGGTATGAGAATGAAGAATGTATGAGAATATTAATGAAGTAGGAGTCAAACTGGGTCGGACGTCGAGAAAGGAAAGAAGGGAAAGACATCGCTTCCCGTGTTCGAATTCGTCGTCGCCGGTCTACATGTCAGACACCAGATACCGTACACCAGATATCAGATGCTCATATGGCGGATATGGGTTATGCTCCTCGTTCTTCATTCCCTTTCTCAGTTTCGCGTTTGCCCGAATTGGCCATAACGAATAGGGCCCAGGGAATAGACGTCAGACAACGGGGCCATATCGGCCGGGGGCCTAGAATGGATCGTCGCCCGTCCGGTTAATATTGCGATTGATGCTTGCGGTTCGGTGCGTTTCTGGTTTGATTTACGTCTGCGAGGTATGGTACTGATGATAGGAATAGGAATGTGCTTGCCATACGCTAACAACGTATACGTAGCTCGTGGCTTGTAGCTCAGGCGCTCATATACATATCACCAATGGAATTTATGGAGGCCACGGACGTCCTGACAGCGACACTCCCGGCGGCACCAGCATTAGGGATATCGGACCGCCCGTTCACGCGTACCCTCGATGGGCAAGCTGGCCGACTCGCCGTGGCCGTGGTACATTGTCTATTGACGGCTTTTCTGCTTTGCTGCTTTTCTTCGCCTATAGGTTGCCATGTCTGGCTGCGCTCTTGTCCTGGATATTGTTCGATTCCATACCTTTTCATCGTGTTCAATGCTTTGCTGTTTCCGTCCCCAGATAGGGCCTCATCGACCTATCCCTCCGAGGCAGCTTGCGCGGCGGAATAGCACGCACGCATCTCTCTGATATAATTCAAGAACTGGGCCTGGGGCTTGTGCCACACAGCAGATTTTAATCGCGTGACAACGAGATTTAGAGTACGCAGCAATTGACGGTCTATTGGGCGTAGTACGCTTGACAAATAGATCACTAACTATACTACGGGCGGAGGTGGATTGTCGACATCATCCGAGTGCAAGGGATCCACAATGTGGGTGAGTCGGCTATCTATTGAGGACTAATCGGATGCAAAAGCTGCTGTCAGAACAAGAAGAGCAAGTCAGGAGGTTTATGACCTTTTAGGCTTAAGCAGCAGGGGCATCGCCGCCATCGACAGGGGCGGGCTCCTCAGCGGCAGCAGCAGCAGGAGTAGGAGTCTTGGTCTTCTTGGCCTTCTTCTTGTCACCGCTGGGGTTGGCGAGGACGAACACAGCGGCGAAAGCGAGGACGAAGAGTGCGACACGCATTGTGATTGCTGGCTGACGATAAAGCCTATAGATCACACCTCAAATCAGTGCCAAGAAGGGTGAGAGAGAGAAGAGAAGGTGCTTACTACTGGTAAGTGGCTAAAGGTTTGCTGAGGAAGTGAGGAGGTGCGGGGAGGGTTTATATAGCTTTCTGACACGCCTACCGGCTCCACCCTATCGAGCATCCTTTCATTCCTGCGGTTGTGCGATATTGCGCGAGCCTGAGCACGTTGGCGTCGTGGGTCTCCAAACACGCAGAATCATTGCGCTAACGCATACCATTTAGTGGAGGCATGCACTGGAGAGACCAGTGACCGGTGACTGGTGACCATTCCTCTTGTCCGTGTGGCGCGTTTGGCGCAGAAAGAGGTGGGTTGTGTCAAATCAAATGATCATGACATGACCTAGTGATGTAGAGGGACTTGTTTAGATCATTCACGACGCCCAATGTGTCGGACGATGTATTCGAGTATTCAAGGCGTACAGGGCGTGAGTAATCCTCCTGGAGTCTTCAAACTTGAGGCTGATCCGAGTAAGGCCCGCGACCTGAGGGCCTTATTGACAAGATGGGGGCTGTCGAGCTTCACGAACCTTGGGAGTGACCAACAGCAGACGACTGTCGGCAGTGTTATCCCCTTCATTGACGATGAGGTGTGCCTCTACGAGGAGTCTCCACGACCAGTCCGATCCCGTGGTTAGAAGCAAATGATCTCGGCGGATACGCAGTATACATGGCGCGCGTTTGGAATCTCTGCAGAGGGCTCGGGGAATGTACTGGTCATGGGGATCAACGTTCGAAAAGCTCATGCAGCCTCCGGAGTTCGGAGTCGAACCTTTCGGGCGTCCCGTTGACTCCATTTGGAAATATAGTCGGGTCGGGACACTTTACGGGGAGCGGGTGACCTTATTGTTTGGGAGACGTCGGGACACCATGTATCTGTTTGAGCTCCTCGAGCGGTTTGAGCACTTAGCAGGAGATAACCCCGTGGGTAATGGCGATTCCTGTGATTCCTGTGATATCCTGGATAACCACTTTACGATGAGTAACTACTAACTACTAACCGAACCACTTCTACTTGTGGAACTCAAGAACGAGGCCGTTTGCATCAGTTGATATCCACGGAGGAAATCAGATTTCTAACTAAGAAGAAGCTTATCATCTCTCAGATTCGGGATGTTCCATAATAACATTACTTCTTCGTCCAATGTTACACGCTACACCGCAATAGACTCGCCGTATGACACTCGAGGACCATACATCCGGCATCATACGTATAGACGAACACAAGCACAATCTCCACGAGCGACGATCACTGATCAAGTGATCATCAAGCCCATGATATTATATTCCAGGAAACAACGCACCCGAACAAAGCAGCAAACAAACCGCGCAAAACGTGGGCGCGCCTGCGTGTTCGGGGCCTTGGGTAATCAGGTGAAATAACACATATCGCTAGCATCGGCCGTCCCCAGCGTGCATCGTTCGTGACTGTGCGCGGACCACTGTTCGGACATGTGGTCGGCGGGAACGACGCGTAGATACGTGCTGATTACGGTATGTTTCGCATGGAAACGTTAACATGTTATATTCCATAGGTGAACGGCGTGGTTGGGACGAACGTTGCATGCATGAATACGATACATTCAGAAGAACCGATTTGGTTGGCGAACCAGTTGGCATTCATGGTTTACGGCGCGGTACGCGCCAATTGCACCATAGCTATCAGTTACGGATTCACGGGGTAGGCGACATGCAACGCACATGGATCTTACAATGGGGAGCAAAAGTGATGGACAAGAACATACGTAGAAACGCAGCTCCCGAACAGGGCCCTATGATGCATATCATCAGTTTCCTGGGCGCCGGAAATAGGGCGTAATGGAGATGTACTGTTCATTATTGCAGAGGACAAGGTAACGAGGAAGGCATCATGGGCGAGTGGTTGGTTGAAGTAGTCAAGATCGCGGCGGACAGAAACCTACTGATGGGGTGTACACGTAGCGACTCAGCCGCGGTCGGAAAAACACGACGCGAGGGTAGGATGATAGAAAGGATACAAAACTCCGATAGCATGTAAACGGCAGCGTATATCAACAAAGCCCAGCTACTGAGAGGTGCGTCTCTGCCAGGATTTCGGAGAAGAAGCAAAGAAGCGGCGAGTATTCAAAGTAGTTTCGCGGATCCAGCTTTCACGGGTGGTTGGTTCTGGCATTCGTCTCAGCAGTGGGGCAGGGGTAGTGCCGTGGCCTTCACAAGATCAATGTGCCGCCGATTTGGAGCAGAATAGAGCTTCTAAGTCACAGTTCTGGCGTTTGTGCCCCTTCGAAACTCCGAGGCAACCTCAACAAGGATGGCCATATATATGTTTCGATATCGTCGCTGTGCAGGTGCGAGAGGACCTAAAGTCGTTTCCAGACACCGTTGGTGGAGTACAATGGTTTGATTGGCGAGATCGTGTTGATACATTGAAGTAGATCTTGGGCCAGGAAGGCCACTTCTGTATGAGCAGCATGGCCTATTCCTAAGGAGCAGTGCGTTAGAACTGCTAGACGGGTCTGAATGATATCGCCCACTGTATACACAACACCCGCTTCAATTTCCCACTTCGGCAGCATGGAAGAACGGAATAACATCAAGTCGCGGTCTGGACAAGGATTCATCCGGTCCGAGCCGAGAGCAACCATATAGACGCCCAATAATGTCGGAGATCATTAACTCCAACATTGCTTGCATAGTACGGGCTCGTGACCGACATGTAGTTATTATGCACGTTATACGTGGCTGCGTTCCGTATCTGCGAGGATACAGGTCTCTGTGAATTGTGGGTCGTTGCTAAGTTGCTATCGTCGTATCCTTTGAGATTATTACTGACCTGGTTCAACTTGCCTTCTTGTAGATGTTGCTGACAAGATCAGAGACGCGCTTCATTGGCTCTGGCCACAAGTCAGTATGCTAGCCTATAGGGGAGACATATCGAAGGATACTTTCGGGCTGTGTTGGAGGCCATTTCATGGTTGAAGGCGACGTCGGTGAGGCTCGGTGTAGGCGGTCAGCTCTCTAAGCTTGGAGCCAAGAGATTGGGTGGGTCATTTCCGTCGGCATGGGTCATACGGTGAGGAATGCGTATTGCCCAGACGCTTGGCGAACTGCCCTCTTTGTTGGTTGTAGTACGCCGTCTCCCCAAAGCGTCGTACATCTGCACCTCTAGACCCTCGGTTTTCAAGGGGCTCTGCAGTTCGTATAATCCTTGCGTATGCATGAAACGACGATGCACATTGGACGTCATCGTTGTGCCTGGGCACGATGAGAGGGGGTTCGCAAATCCCAATCCCAGTAAGTCAATGCTTTACAGCTTAGTATACCGATCACTCTAAAAACATCCGCTTCTCTTCTTCTGCATTGCTTCGTTCGGACCCGAATCATTGGCTTTCCATCTCAGTGACAGTAGCATCTGCGTCCGCCGTTTCATCTCGAGTCTCTGTGGAGGAGCGCGATATTAAGGGAGTCCTAGTCAAGATCCGGCCAGCCCGTCGGGGCGGGTTTCACGGTATCTTCTTCACGATATATAATGCATGAACATCTCTGCAATTTGGGCAGCAAGTTCACCGAGCATCGTTACTTACAAGCAATCTCCTCTTGATATCTTTTGGTAAGCTACTTTTCATCCGCTGAGGAGCCTTAGTACTAATTCTTGCCCTTCTCCTGCAGATTTCGATGAACTTTCAATTCCTCTTGTTGGCGACGTGGGCCATCCTCGTCGCTCCTACTGCAGTTTTCGCTGTTTGGGGCCAGCCAGGCCCCATCACCTCCCACAGGACCTGTACCCCGTGCCAGTGCTTAGGCCCCCTCGCCAGCAACGGTTTCTTCGGTGCGTTCGATAATCCTTCTGGGACTACCGACGTAGCGCCCACTCACGCAGTATTTATTTAGATGAATTCTGCTCGGCCATCGCGCGGGCACCGTGCTCTACCCATATTCGAAGCGTCACTCCCGGTCTCTGGCAGTATATTTCTGCCAACGCGCCAGGGTGTAACATCATCTGGGCCCCGACGAAGTCGGAGTGCATGGTGAGAAATCTACGAAGTCCTTGGACGCATAGTTGCTGATCGGCCTTCCTTCAGCTACACATGGCGATTTTGCAGAATGGACGCGATCCAGCGAGGTGCGCTGCGCTGATGGACGTCCACAACTTTGCTGGTGTTCGAATGGCGACTTTGGCAATGGGTGGCCAGTGTATCCCTGGGGCTGGGGCTCCACAGTGTCCATCCGCGTAGCTCGATTAGTCCTTCTTGCTACCAACGTCAACCAAGCCATGAATGATGACGTTTGGCTAGTTTAACAGCTGTTTTCGATAGTTCAATAATTTGAGTCACGAGTCGTTGGTGGTGCTTCAAGCTATCCGGCCGACGAAGGTTCACTCTGGCAACTCGAAGAGCTGTGTCACAAGTTCAAGTTGAGATTTTGCTAGACTTCGCGACCTTTACAACTAGAAAGTAACTATTACTGGTTACCGGGGCTCGGCCCGAAAATAAGTAGCTGGAGCGGTGATTCTCGGATGGGCGCCTAAGCATTACCTCCTCTGCTCTGTGTGCTTTTCAAGTTGGAAACTCGATGTCTTACTCTGGTCAGGATCTACGTTCCTCGATATGTTCCTCTTGAATAGGCTAGTGCAGCAACGGAATCACTCTCATTCGAATGGCATGCCCTGCCGGTTGCTGGGGGTGACTTGTTGATGAGAATAGTCGACTTTCATGATATCTTCGGCGGTTGTGCTGTTCTTAATCGCAGGTGTAGGTGATGGAGACTGCAGACGAGGATACAGCGACCGCCAGTCGATCAGCGATAAATTATCACGGACGACGAACTCTGGCCGACATACCACGATCACGCCTTGCCATACACACCCATTGTACTGCAATGCCGTAGGAAGCGAGTATGTACCATGGCGACTGGTAGAATCGTCAAGTATCAGCGTTTTGAAAGATATAGTTAAGTCGGTGCTTGTGGTGCTTCGTCGATTGGTGCGTGTCACCCTTCATCATTAAATAGTTGTATCAACGCCGAATATCCCGTCGTCATCACGTTCGGTCTTGTTCCTCTGGAGACTATGTGGCGAAATCGACAAGAAGACTCGTAGATTACTGTCCTGGGCCTTGGCGCCGCAGGACTTTGCTTTGACGTGCG